CCAGCTCCTTCAAGTAATTACTCAAAGCCTTTCCCCCGAGGTCCAACCTTTTAACCCCATAGTTGAGAGTGAAGTTCTGGAAAACCGGAGACGCGTGGGTGAAGGAGAACCCCGAATCCACAACGAGGCTACATTGGGCCTTCGAAACAAGGCCATAGGGTCTACGCGAGGCCTCATAGAGATGGACCAAAGATGGTGAATCTGCAACGAACAGGGCCTGAAAGTTGAACTCTTCGAAAACGATCTCATCAACTGAGCGTTGAATAGAGGGGAGACTGAAGAGGGGTTCGGTTAGGAGGAGAGAGGATTCACTGGGGCTGATCTTGAGGATGTTATTGAAAATGTGGGACCATATCGAGGATTGAAGGTCGGCGTTGATGATGTAGCCGCGGTCAATAGGGCGGCGGACGGTGGCCGATGTGAGATCTGCGTCTGGAGCAAGGAGTTGGTCAGCGACGAGCCACTTTTTCGAAGAAAGTGGACGTCCCGTGCAGTTGGGAACGACGGCAGCGGGGTCTCTCTCCCCACCGATCCCCGCCTTGATCAGGCCGCCTCCATTGTCTAGAACTACCACGTTCGACATGCCGACACAACACTGAGAATGAAGGGAACCAGTACAGTGGTTGAGTGAGTTGAAGAACTACCCCATTTGAGCGTTCGACATGGGGGCTTTTAGAAAAAGTTTGGGAGAACTGCCAGATTCTTTTTTTATTTAATCAAACAATATTTTTCAAGTCAAATTTGATTAACTTTAACCAACTACTTCATCTGTCCCCGAAAGAAGTTCCTCATTTGATTTTCACACACTTTTATACAAGTAAACTTACCAGGGAGTAAATTTTACTGTTTTGACACTGTTTGACACTGTTTTGCACTGTTTGACACTGTTTTGATGTAGACAACTTTCCATTTAAGGAAATGAGAACTTAAATTAGGGACATCCAAATAAGGAAAATGGGAACTTCTTTCGGGGACGGAGGGAGTATATATTTTTTTGTCATCAAAACGGTTTTTCATTAATATAGAGCAAACATGCAAGACAAAATCCAGACAACTATTATAGATCCAATCGTAAGCCCTAGGAATAGACTTAGAGTCAGTCACCCATACAAAACAACCTGACTCGCTAGATACAAAATGGGTAAGAAGAAGCCTAAAATGATCGAAAATGAAGTATTGTTTATCAAAAGTTTTTCAAAAATCAAAATACTCCAACAATACCTGCTCGGGCTGAAATAAAAATAAGTACTACGAAAGGAAATATAATACGAAAATAAAAACTTTCCTCAAATTGCTTTCTTGCACGGAGGTGGTTTCAGAGGAGGGGGAGCTGATGTAGTATGGTAGAAGAGAATTTCAACCCCCGGAAAATTCGTCTGAAACTTTATCCTTCTTGCGCTTGCCAATGCTCTCGCCAATTTGCTTCTTGAGATTTGCCATTGAAATCCATGTCCGAGGTGCAGAAGAAAACTCTATTATGTTTCCTTGTGTTTCTTCACCCCACAAAAAATCCAAGGCGCACCCCACCGCCCTTGCGTTCCACTCACAATTCCGAAACTCCAAAGAGGAAAACCGCACGAAGCTCACGTACCATAAACGAAGATCGATCGGGGGAACAAAAACCCTAACTAGTGTAGGGAATTGAAGACGGCCGCCCCTCGAAAGAATCGATAGCAGAGAAGAAAACCCTAGCGGCGGAAATCCACCCTAGAGAGAGAAAAGTTTGATTGCCTAGATCCTAGTATATATACTTGGCTGCCAAATCTGGAACATCATGGACCAAGATCATCGGTAGTGAGAAACTCATAAGAACTTTAGAAGTAAATAGTGTTAAAAATGGAATTAGGCTCCTATTCATATACTCCCTCCGGTTTTTAATAAACTTCACACTTTCCTTTTTTGGACGGTCTAAAATAAACTTCACACTTCCTTATTTCCTTTTTTGGCAAAGAAATCTACATCAAAACAGTGCCAAACAGTGCCAAACAGTGCCAAACAGTGTCTCAACAGTGCCAAACAGTGTCAAACAGTGCCTCAACAGTGTATTCTACAGTAAAGTCAAATTTCTTTCCTTATTTTGTGTGAAGTCAAAGTGTGAAGATTAAATAAAACCGGAGGGAGTACATTAATTAAGAGGTATTTTAAATGTGAGTGATGGAGGAATTAGAGTGGCATTCCCGTCTATAACTTTAACCGACTATATAATTATTATACACGGTAATATTAATAATAGAAAATTATATAAAAATGTTTTTTATTAAAAATACTACCATAAACGTATAAATTTATTTAGTTTCACATAAATATATTAATACGGAGTATATCCTTTTCATTTGTATTTCAATTTTTATAAAAAATATACATAAAGCCCTGATTTTTTATTATCTTTCATGGGACACCAATATTGTTTATATAAAAATAAAAAGAATTTTAAATATACGATGGATGGAGGTTTTAGGCACAAAAGTTTTTAAAAAAGTTCCAGTTTTAAAATTAAGATCAGAAATAAATTCTACTTTTGAAAATCAGAAAAGATAAAGGACACTAGCAAGTCAGGAGAAAGTAAAAGCTAACATGTTTGGGACTATGTTTAAAAAACCGACCCGACCCGGCTGGGTTGACTCGGAACCCGGTGACCCGGACAAAAATCCGGTTCGGTTTCTTCAAAACCCGAAAATGGTCAAAAACCGGAAAACCCCGGCTGACCCGAAAAAAACCGATCCGGACCCGGACCCAAGAAACCCGAAAAACCCAGAAAAACCCCGTTTTCGCTCTTTTTCCAAAAAAAAAGTAATTTCTTTTTAATTTTAATGCATTTTTTAAACCAATAAAATTGCAATTTCAATTCCCTAAAAAGAAAAACTATGTAATATATTTATATACTACCTCCGTCCCAAATTGATTTGCAAATTTGACTTTTCTTGGTCAAACAGTTTCATTTTATTCGCTTAATCAGGATGTCAATTTTTAATTATATTCTAATTTGAAGTTTACAACTTTGAAGAGATTTTAATGTAGTTTTTGAATATATAAATTTTAATTATTAAAAATTAAATTAATTATCGATACGGAGCATTGACTTTTATTATTAGTTGACCAAAAAATGTTGACTTTGCAAAACAATTTGGGACGGAGGGAGTATTTATTTAAGAATGAAAATCATGCCAAATTATAATATAAATGTACAATACTAATAAAAATATATAATGAGAGTGTATATAATTATATGTTTATTATTATTATATAGACGTATAATAGTTGATCGGTTTTCCGGCTTTGACCGGGTTGACCCTCTGGGTCCGGGTTGACCCGTGATCCAGTCACATGACCGGGTCGCTCACCGGTCTGGTTTTTACAACATAGGTTTGGGACTCCCAACTAAATTTCTTTTTTTTTAACAAATCATTATACGGAGTAACTTTTTATATTTATAATTTGATTTTAACAAAAAAATGTATCAAATTCATAATTTTATTACTACCTCCGTCCCGATGGACTTTGTCAAGTGCAAAGTAGGTGAGAAATAAGAATAGTAAAAACTGTGTGATTGAGATTTGTGCAGAGGAGAGAGAAATATGCAGACCCACAAATTAATTGCTTCACTAAAAAAGTGGCAAAGTTTTTTGGGACAACTAAAAAGAAAAAATTGGCAAAGTCTAATGGGACAGAGGGAGTATTATCTTTCATTTGACACTAATTTTGCATAAATAAACATAAATGTAAATCTAAATATACGATTGATGGAGGCATTTTATTTATTGCCTGAAAGTGTCGATAGAAAACGCTTGTGATCCACTTAATTTTAAAACTTGGATCCACCTCAGAATAAATTTGAGCCTAAAAGCCTCCATCATCCGCATATTTAGATTTATTTTTATACATGAAATATCGATGTAATAGTAAAATCAGACGGATCCTCAACTATACTATGAGATGGGATACAGTTCCCACCCCATGACAACTAGAAGTCACTTCAAGAAACCCATAGATGAAACCAACTACCTTTTATACCCGGTAGACGTGAGATTCGACGACTCACCACACAAACTGGCCGCGGCTCTCGAGAAATATAAATCTTCACACCCGGAGGCAGAAACATATCAACCATACTTGAAGAAGGCAATTAGGTTTCATAACAAGTTCAATAGGAATATACCAGCTTCACTTGGAATTCCAACTAGAAATTTCAATTGCTAGTGTATCTCCATTTTATATGTATCTTTAAATATCTTGAATCTTTAAACTTTTATAAATAAAATAGGGAAGTGTTCCCCGGCACTTCCCCCACCCAGGGTGGTTTGCTTCGGGACCAAAAAATTGATGTCATACGAAAGATAATGATAATAATTTATGAGCTTTGATGTTTTTTTTTTGTAAAATCCGGATAATAAATAAAATAAGTTATAGCAATTTTAATAAAGAGATTTTTTTTAGCATCCTTTGCTTTTCTCATGTATAATAATCATTAACTTTTACTACCCATTTTGCCTACCACTACATAAAATTAGGAATTTAAATGTTCCATCTTTAACTCCTAATGCTACACTTCAAATGGTCTAATGATGGTAAAAATGCCCTCTGTTATTGCGGCAGAACTAATAGGCTGGTTGCTCCATAAAATTTTGAAGTACCCTTTTTGCGCTATCTGTACGCAGGGATACTTAGAATGCTTTTACTTAGACTGTAATTTGTCCCAGACCAGACCAGACCAAACCTGGATAGTTATAAAAATACAAAGATACCAGATCAAACCAGCAAATTACGGCCCAAGTAAAAACATCATTAAACCACAGAGCGTCTACGGTTTTACATTTTAGCACTCGTACTATTTAGAGAGAATTCCCTAAATATGAGTAAAAATGTTTTGAAATTCCAAAATAGGACTATCATGTTTTTTATTCTATGAATAGGAGTAAATTTTTGCCAAGTTTGGCATTACGAGGCTTTAAACATGGCATTTTTTCCCAAACTTGGCAGAATTACTCCTATTTTTACTCCTTGTTAGGACAATTTCTATACTATTTATTATTATGCGCACGGAACTGTAAGCTGAATATGGCATTCAAACACATTATTTACTTACCAGAATACAAGGGATATAGTGGTCATTTCGTAAGAAAGAAACTAAATTTAGCATACTAGTAATTATTTCGGATCCATAGATGTACAATGTCCAGCTAGCTAGAGAAGAAAGTATCATATCATGCCTTTAGCAGTGGTGTCAGGGTAGGAGTGCCAAACATGAGAAATCCGCTAATTTACAGTACACCGCCATCATCATCATCCTGTTGAGTGTATATGGAAGCATCACCGTCGATGGGCAAGGAAGGTGGAGTTCCTGGTGGGATGGCAGCTGCTCCGTTCTCACCAGCACATATACACAAAGCCTCCGCATCCCGGATGGCGGAGTCAAGGTCAATGTGGCCACTTAGCTCGTTGATGAATTTCAACAGCGTGTCAAAATCCATCTGCTCTCCTATTATTTTGTTGCGATATCGTTTCAGTAGAGCAGCACAAACGTACAGGTGAAGATGCTCGCTTAAGTAATGTGTCCATAGAACCTCCCACAACTGCATTGTTTTCTCAAATTCAAATTCCCTGTAAGATCACACGGCCGAAGATCAAAACAGAATTAGAGCACAACTTTATAAAAAGAAAACATTGCAATCCTCATTCTTTTATCTAACTTTCCAATATAGGTGTTTTAATAGAGAACTAGGGAAGCAAAGGATTTTCTCTTAAAACTTAAATGATGTGGCATGTGCCTGCAATTGTTATACTAAATAAGACCATTACAGAGAATTGGCAAAATAGGTGTTTTAATAGAGAGATAGGGAAGCATTTTTTTTGTCTCAAAAAAAAAATAGAGAAATAGGGAAGCAAAGGGTCACTGCACTGTGACCCTAGTTTAGTATAAATACACCCCCTTAAAATTACAACTTTTCATGCACTTAAATGTGTCAATTCTACTGGAAGACATACTATTTTTCCTTGCTATTGGTTCGTTTTTGTTTCAGCTCTGTCAACTCAACAGACCACATTTCATAAATTTAACAATCTCATGACGCGCAAAAAAAGATAACAGAAAAAGAGAAACTGCGAATAATGGCAAGGAAAAATACAGATGAATTCAAAAAATTGTATTCCTTGCCTTTTGAATTGTATGAGTATCCAGCGAAAGCAGAAGAAGTAATTCAAGCAGTCCTTCTGGTTAAAGTAGTTATGCAATGGGCTATCTAACAACTCCACCAACTGCAGTTATTCAAGCATAAACTATCAGGCAAGCCAAAGATGGAATGAGATATCAACTGTTGAGAGGTCAAAACAAAATGATTCAAATACGAATGGAGAATATGAGCAACAGCCGAAATTTGTTTGCAATATTTGAGTCAGGTTGGCAACATTGTATATAAAAATCATGTGGCTCAAATGAGGAGAGAGAAAACCTTTGATAGTGCAAAAAGCTGTGAATGCATTCCATTTTGGTCCCGGTTAAAATTGGGCCCAAGTCGCTCCATTAGCACAACAAAGCACCAAAATGATTCTGATTCATCTCCCATTACATATAATATTGGAGATAGAAGATCACTCATACCCTACAAGCGAAACAGGATGCAAATTTCAACCATAATTAGCACCCAAAGTTGTAAAGTGAACATAACATGATCATAAATTATGTTTGCTGAAAGTTGAAGGTTGAAACATAAGGTGGGCTTTGGCGATATAACAAATAATATGTGAGAAAATAACACATTTTTTTATGTTACATATATGTGAACAGACAAGCCTAATTAAGTAGAGTAATTCATAGAAAATAAGTAGAAAAGTCACTGCATACAAGTAAACAAAGAAATAGTTAAACAGGAGCCTAATCACCTGACAATAACCTAAATCAAAGTTGTAGAACGAGTACGTCAGCAGTATGTCATGTAAAAGATTCACATTAAGATTCTCGTCCCCGTCATAGAATGAGAGTGCCCGGTCAGTCCTCACCTTAAACCAAAAGAGAAGGATAACTGATATTTTTTCCTTTGGCCAATAAAAATGAACTACTACAACAATACTCATGATCAGACTTGTAAGTAATAGCAACAGATAGTACATGGTAATAAGAAAATGACATCCACATCTTCATCATCATTACCCCAGTGCCACAAGGGCTCCCACCAACAGTGGGGTAAGGGGGGTCGGATGTACGCAGTCTTACCCCTTGTACTATAGCACACAGAGACTGTTTCCGAATGACCCATGGTGAAAATCATGTCAAAAATTGCATAGACTGACTGTTACTTCATAACAAAGAAGCACAGACAATTTAGTGAGCCATTTTTATTTATTCCATCATATTCCCAAGCCAAAAAATAGTGAGTCCTTGGCTCCATTGAAAATGATGGAAAAGAAAATGGCATCCACAAAATGGAGAAATAAAGAGAAAAGGGGCAAATAAGCCCATGTACTAACCAAAAAAGGTCAAATAAGCCCTTATATAGGATGCTCTGTCCGGCCGTCGCCATTTGGGGAAGTTCCCGGTGAATTTTTTGATGAATTTTTTTTAGCATCTTATTCATTATGTCTAGTTTACTCATACCAAATTTCAGCTAACAATTCAATCGGGAAGGCATTCAAATGAATTCTTGAAGATAACTACACAGTTAAAAGCGCAGTTATCTTCAAGAATTCATTTGAATGCCTTCCCGATTGAAGTTTTAGCTGAAATTTGGTATGAGTAAACTAGACTTAATGATTAAGATGCTCAAAAAATTTCACCAAAAAATTCCACCGGGAACTGCTCCAAATGGTGATAGCCTCCTGTAAAAGGGCTTATTTGACCTTTTGTGGTTAGTACGTGGGCTTATTTGCCCCTTTTCTCAAAAATAAATAATGAACACTTCTTTACCAACAATTAGATGTGTGACAACTGACAAGTGAACAAACAAATTCAAAGCATACCACATCTTTCTCAATAAGCCCTTTCCTTTCCCGGAATTTCGTAAATCTTTTTGCTTGCTCTCTTGAAATGCTCTGCATAACATAGAGATGTATATATAAATAACACCTATTTAACTGACAATTTCATGCACCCACCTACCAAGGCCATTAGTTACAGAACAAGATGCCATGTTCAAACACAATTTCATACTCCCAGATTTTGGAGCAACAAAAGTCATCATATAAATCTCAATGTGACAGGAATAATGGTACAGCTCTAACTCCCAAAAATAAACGTTGTGCAAAACCATAACAAAACTGTATGGAACTAGCAGTTCATCTTATTTAAAACATAGAAACACGATGTCTATAGAAATTTCGAGCCTTTGCACACCGGCTACGGTGTTGTTTTGTAACTGAGAGATCAGGGGTTCAAGTCTTGGGAGTGGCCTCTTGTCAAAAATGACAAGGGAAGGCGTACCTCTACACACCCTGGTAGTGGGACCCTTCCTCACACCGGGCTGCCTTTTATTTCTAGACGATGTCTACAGAACTCTGTACCTAAAATTCTATGAGATTGGAATCCTTAAATGAAGCAGGAACCCTTTGTTACACCAATATATCTCAAGGATACCACACTGATGTGCTCAAAACTTATTTGTATGTAATACTCCCACCATCCCAGCTTAAGCTTCTCACTTGCCCCTTTTGGGCGTCTCAGCTTAAGCTTCACATTTCTATTTTATGAAATAGTTAACACTCTTAAATGAAAAATTAATCATCAAATATTAAAAATAATATACTTATAACAACACAATTATCATCAGTAACCTTATTATGTTATATATCCATAAAAACTATATTTAAAAATATACTAGAATTAGCTCATTTAATTATTGTCTAAATAATCGTGTGATTTTCAATGAGAAGTTTAAGCCAGGACGGAGGTAGTACTTTTAACTGCCATACTGTGTGTATTGAGGCTGAGTTATTTAAAATGTTTTCGGAAATATTTGCACATCTCGTTATTTATATGTAAAATGTTTTTAGGACATCTCCTCCGTCATATTTATTACTTCCTCCATTCTATAATAGTTGACACGCCAGATATTTCACGAAAATTAAGAAAGATAGTGGGGGATAATAATTAGGGTAGAAAAAAGGTAGGAAAGAGATAGAGAAAAAGTAGGATATAAAAGAATAAAAGTTGATAAAGTAGGAAAAAAGGAAGAAAATTGATAAAAATAGGAAAAAGATTATAAACAATTAGGGTAAAAATTTCCAAATATAGAACTAGGTCAAATAATACAAAACTTCCAAAAAAAATACATGCCAACTATTGCAGAATGGAGGGAGTATATGAATACTTAATTTAGACACACTTTAAAATTAGGGTAAAAGTTTTCAAGTATTTATATTATTCAAAATAAATAATTTATAAGTTTCTTAATACTTTATATTTTATCTTAAGATTTATTCATTAATATATTTTTTTATTTATATTCATGTAAAAATATTACTCCCTCCCAAATTGATAGTCTCATATTTCCCATTTAGGGTGTCCCAAATTCATAGTATCATTTTTTTTAATTTTCTTTTTTTATATAAAAATATAAAATCTCCATTTTAACCTTGCCTGTATAGGTAAATCAAACTTTTTAAATGGGATAACTTTTAGTACAAGGGTAGTTGGTTATACTTATCCCCTTTTTTAATTTTTGTACCCAAAAAGCATGGGACTATCAAAATTTGGGACAAAGGGGAGTACTTCATATTATTTTTGTAAAAGTCCCCTATTTGCAGTGCCTGAATAAACACTCTGTGTACCCATATGATAGAGACAAGGAGCAGCAGCCCGATAAATTCTTTAAAAAGGTCTATCAAAGGAGGAAGTATAAAACAGTTAGTTAGTTAGTTAGACTACTGTTATGTGGGTCCAGTTATGTCCCTGCGTGGACTATGAGTATAAATAGAAATAATCAGCCAGGGATAGGTAGGCTGTTTGTTAATTGGGACTGGTCTGGGAGTTTTGGCAGCTTGAAATTGCCTATTGCTTGTATCCCTTCTTTGAATTCATTTCTTGTTCAATAAGACAGATTCTGCAAATTGTTCTTGAACAAGTTTCTTTGATTGTTTCAATTGTTCTGAATCGAATTACTACCAGTGTTTTATCATTGGTATCAGAGCATCATTCTGGTGACCCAAGTTTGCGTTGAAGATTACCAGAAAATTTTTCCGCCTGATTGGGTGAATGGTTCGTACCAGAGCCAAAATGGAGCAGAGATTGGAAGCTGTGGAACGTAATCATATGGCGATGGAAAGAAATCATGCAACGATGGAACGCAACCATATAGCGACGCAGGAGACTTTGTCGCAGGTTCAGACGGCGATCGCGGCTTTATCGGAAAGGTTGGACGCAAAGAAGGGATACAAGCAATAGGCAATTTCGAGCTGCCAAAACTCCCAGACCAGTCCCAATTAACAAACAGCCTACCTATCCCTGGCTGATTATTTCTATTTATACTCATAGTCCACGCAGGGATATAACTGGACCCACATAACAGTAAGTCTAACTAACTAACTGTTTTATACTTCCTCCTTTGATAGACCTTTTTAAAGAATTTATCGGGCTGCTGCTCCTTGTCTCTATCACCATATTATATACATTTAGGGGTTTCCATGTTGGCAATTTGGCATACCCGTACTCACGTACTGCATACCGGTATTGATTGTATACAATTGGGAATCACTTCCATCAATCACCAATTACCCTTTCCCAACATGCTCTTAACATTAATGCCAGATATGTTTAACTGTGCAAGAACTCAGGCAAATGTAATAAACCTTCCATTGATTTTTAATGGTTTCATATTCAGACTTTTTAACTGAAACAAGATATTCCCTTTCTGCATAAGTTGAATCATATGAATGATACCCCAGCAACAATGCCCAGACCTGCAACCAAAAAATGATAGTGTGCTTTTTCATTACAGATCATTAAAAACATCTACTGAGAGGGAAAAGCAAGCAAAAAAAACGGGAAAAACCTCTTTCCTCAGACTGGGTTCAACTCCGCCATAGAAGATCCTTTTTCTCAAGGCTTCAGGATCCAAAACTCTTCCTTCGGAATCCAAGAATGTGACCCACTAACACATAAAATGGTTTTAGGAAAAAACTGAAGTAACCAAGTATCAGAATCCAATAATTCACAGAGTCACAGGTGAGGCATTTCATTACTCCCTCCGGTTTTTAATAAACTTCACACTTTCCTTTTTGGGACGGTCTAAAATAAACTTCACACTTCCTTGTTTCCTTTTTTGGAAAAGAAATCTACATCAAAACAGTGCCAAACAGTGCCAAACAGTGTCTCAACAGTGCCAAACAGTGTCTCTACAGTGTCAAACAGTGCCTCAACAGACAGTAAAGTCAAATTTCTTTCCTTATTTTGTGTGAAGTCAAAGTGTGAAGATTAAATAAAACTGGAGGGAGTATTATTTTGAATATTGAGTAGAAGATAGAAACCTATGGGGAGCAGTACGACAGGTCAGATCTGGAAAAGAACCAAAGATACATGTACGCATGAAGAAAAAAAAGAATATGATGTCTATTCTATTTAAGGATAGTTTCACTTGCACATTGGCTAGTTGTGACCAATATGAAGCAAAATGCAATACAGGATAGTATATGGCTGTAAGTCTGTAACTACAAGGGTTCAGGCAAATTATGCCTTTCTAAAAGAGTCCACAAAAACATGCTCCATCTGTCCCGAAATTAGGTTTTTATTTGCTTTTGGCAAGCTTATTACGAAAGTAAAAAATGTTGTTGAGATTTATCTCGAAAAGGGAAAAGAATATGAGCCACACAAGTTTTTCTTTAATAGATAACCGAAAAGGTAATTTTGAGATATATGAAATCGAAAGTAGGAAGCTAATGGGGTACTTGATTATAAGTCACAAAAATAAAATTGGAAGATTCTTTTGGTAAGCCATCAACTACCTATCACATATGAATAAATATGCATGGGTTTTTCAAGTTAAGAGGTGGGATAGATCATTCACCTCTTCTGACCTCAAGGGAGGCTGCCGCGGTTTGCCCCATACTAGCGACAATTTGTCAATCTGCTATATAAAGTAATGTTAAAATTAAAGATTGAAAGTACAAAGCACTTGTTCAAGGTAAACTAGAGTTAGAACTAGATCCAAAATTCAAATTTCAGGTATCCCTTGCCCTACAAAAAAAATTAAACCACATCTGAGAGGGATTGTGGAATATAACTAATAAATTTAAATGCATCTCCACTAAACAACTATTTCTCAGTGAAAATTACAAATATTCAAGAATTTAAAATATTAGAGAGACAACGACCAATGACATAAACATTGACTATAAAAATGCCTGTGACCTATCAAACGTGTGAATAATCATGATGTTTAAGTCCAAAATGAGACTGTAATACTTAAAGTGCTTTATATGAAGTGAGAGAATACTAACACCTATGATGATGCAAACTGATTAAGTTTTGATATATGTAGTTTAGGACAAATATCTGGATTTTTCAGACCAAAAGAGTAACATTAAACTCAGTGCACAGAGGCATCCTCGCAAGGTGAGGGTTCGGGGAAGGGTCCCACCACATGGATGTATAAGGGGAAAACCTTCCCCTATCAAACTTTTGACAAAAGGCCGCTCCCAAGACTTGAACCCGTGACCTCTGGGTCACACAGCAACACCTTAACCGGTGCGCCAAAGCTTCCCTTCACGAAAAGAGTAACATTGTGAATCTAAAATGAAAGATTGGGAAAGGGTAACTATTAGCTTACATGTGGAAAGATATCCAAACAGAGCTTCACAAATATGCAATGCTTCATAGCCCAATCATGGGTTAATGGTTATCAACTTATCATGAACTCTAGGACTAGTGAAATTTTAACTGATGACCTTTTTCATATTCTATTACAACAACCTCAATAACAGCCAAAAAAATAATGACGGAGTTTTAATGACCTAGAGTTAGGACCCACTATATAAGAGATATCCATTCAGGTCATCCTCCAATATCCTCAAATATACTCTATCATGCATGATGCACCATGTGTATATAAATCCCAATGCCTTAAATATATTTTTTACCCCCTCGATCCATGGCTTTGTCAGCGTTATCATGACTCCTCTTTATGTTCCTACAATCTAGCATTGCAACCCCTACTCTCTGTACTGAGACACATACCTCTTTATGAAAAATATGAATGAACATTGTTGATTTCCTTTGCATTATCTTCAATGGCCACCACATCCACTTTCACGCACTTTCATCATTAGGAACCATATTATTTAAGCCTCACTACAAACCTATCTTAACAGACTCTTCTAATACACATCAAGTCATCAACTAGTCCTATAGTTGATCATGAATAACTATCCGAATTTGGTTCACTCTTATTTCTCCCGGTATACCAAAGCAATATCCCAATGCTGTGATATCTCTAGTCATTTCTCCAAAAAATTTAGCTTGATGGAGACATAAGTGAGTATTTATATTTCTCATTACTTCCACCAACTTTCAGGTTCAGAGTTCCATAGTAGAAGACTATATGTACTCCAATATGGTTCAGTCACCAGCCCGGACAGAGGTAGTACTTGATTCTTATCCTAAATATTATTCACCCTCATGTTGGTGACACTGACAAGATTAAGCGCATTTGCTTCTAACAATTAGAAACTACGCATCTATTTCACAACACAAAACTCAGAAAAAAAAAACATTTGAGAACAGGGTGAGAGAAATAGAGCATTCATATTTTCAATCACACAGTATTCCATGAACTAATTAAGGAACTCGAATACAGATGAAGAATATCAGAAGAGCACAGTTGTTACCTCTACAGGGTCTGAAGGTACGGGAACAGCTCTAATAACGTTCTCTGCAACATCTGATGTGGTAGGAGGATAATCAATCCTGGACAGGTCACTCTTCTTTCTCTCATTAGATATGAAACTATCACTGTAAGTTTCATGGAAAAGTTGAGATGTTGCTTCACGGGCAAATCTAGTTACAAGTGAGAATTTCTCTAAAACATTAATTGACAGATCTCGAGCAGGGTCGTAATGTTTTTGCCTTGACCTCCCACTTTGTTGAGCATGTGCTGGTATCCTATCAGAAGCTTCCCCATCAATCTCGCTGGATGATTCACTAGCAGCAACAGAGTAAGTTGGACTACCTGATACAGATACAGCCCTAGAGAGCTCCAGGGAAGAGAGTGTTCTCTGTAAAATGAAAACAAAGACTTAAATGAAAAGTTAGAATTTCATGAAGAGAATGTATTAGGAAACCCCAATTTTGCAGGTTACTTCGATACTCAAGAAAATAACAAGTAAAAGAACATAAATACCTGGAGAGGATCCTGAAAATCATTGACAAGAAATACATTGGCATCTTCAGCAGACCTGAATATAACAATTCTCCCATAAGGACATAGCAACACTTGGGATGTAAAAAATAAAATAACACGTGCTTGGACTTGTTTTTATGTATCCACATTACAAATATCCAAACAGATCAGGGATCTGGTAACTAATACTCCCTCCGTTCCATTTAAAGGTTCCCGTCCACTATTCACATGGTCAACTTAAATCATTCTTAATCTTTTGCTTTATATATCAAATTTTCATCAAACTTATATTTTTTTTTATCAGGCTTTGTAATGGAGCCAAAGATTCATTATTTTTTTGGCTTGAGAATATGATGGAATAAAGCAAAATGGCTCACTGAACTGTCTGCGTTTCTTTGTTATGAAGCAACAATCAGTCCATGCAATTTTGGATGCGATTTTCACTATGGGTCAACCGGAAACAGTCTCTTTGTGCTTTAGTACAGGGGTAAGACTGCGTACATCCGACCCCCCCTTACCCCACCATAGGTGGGAGCCTTTGCGGCACTGGGGTAAATGAAAATGAAAATGAAATGAGGCTTTGTAGCGGTTTTAATGTAGTTTCTGAATATGTAAATTTCATTTACTAAAAATAATCAAAGTGTGAACAGGGATTAAGTTGCTTTATCGTCAGTCAAGCATCGTAAATCGTAATTGGAACCTCTTAATGGGACGGAGGGAGTACATTATTAGTTATGCACTCTAAAGTGCCAAACGCTATGTACATTTATAAAGTGAAGTGCATTAGCTTGTCATCACTCATCACACCCATTACATTTCTTTTCTTTCGATCTAATAAAGATACTATGACATGACATACATAAGATATACTTCCTCCGTTCTCTTTTACTATTATGGTTCAAGTCTTAAGTGTTGCCTCTTGTCAAAATGACAAGGGAATGTTTGCCCCTTATACACCCTTTTGTATATTTAATATTGGTACCATTATTTAATACTATTATTATTATTTCACTCATCCTCCTGCGTTTCGCATGCAACATCTACTTTAAGCCGTCGAAAAAACTCAACATGCTTTTCTCCTCATGTCCTTGGCACGATCTCTATCACAGGTCTGTAGCAATGTTTTTAACAAAGATGGGAAATAATATGGAGTAACAATTCCTTTACCGCTTGTAGAATGATCAATAATGATTACATTATTGCACACATTTGTTCCAATAGAAATGCTAACAAGATATATAGAATAAGAAGAAGCTATGTTCCAATAGAACTGCTAACAAGATATATAGCATAAGTAGAAGCTATAGTTAACATTATAATGAATATTCTTCATTAGTCGCACCAAGAAGGTACTAATGGAGTAGTAGATGAATGAATACGAGAGGAATAGCATGCAACTGACTAGAGAACTATTGTTTTCCATTGAATCAGCTAGAAATTGCTAAAAACGTGTCAAAACATTTTGTCAAGTGTTCAATGGCTAGTCTTCCTGGTTGCAAAAATGAAATCATATTGTCATCAAACAAGGGAGAGAGTATCATGGCATAAAAAGAATTAAAAATATAGCACATGATGAAACCAACCTCACAAGAACAACATGCCGCTTGACTGTTGCGAGAAACTCTCGTACTCCACCGTTGTAGAAGTAAAGTGGAGGAAAAGCCAATCCTACCAAACAAATATGTACTATGGAATTAGGGAAATTGAATTGATTTATAAAATTAAAGAGAACTTGACTTCAAGATATAGTACTAAAACCAGTCACTGTCACAAAGGCACAGCACTAATTAGCTATTACAAGACTACAAAATGTAAACTATGGTCTTCCCTTTTATCTCATGTTTTGCTTGTACTAATTGTGTTAGCTATATTGTTTCTATTTTTAAAGTTGCTTCTTATTAAACTTTTAATAAAGCATTCCACAGATTGTTCTACTTCCTTTAATTTTGAACTTTGTTATAAATGCAGGATAAAAGGCAGCCCAGCGCACATTGGCGTCCTCACCTTGTCTTTTTGAAAGGCTGAGAGCACAAGGTCTCGTGAGCTAGGACCAGGGAAGGGTTACCACCACAAGGGTTCATAGAGATAAGTCTTCCCTTGTCTTTTTGAAAAGACAAGAGGCTTTCAAGGCTTGAACCTGTGACCTCTCGGTTACACAGAACAATGATAGAATTAATGATTAATGTTTTTTCTTTAATTAAAAGAACTAGCACACATGTACACTACGTTGGACAAATTCTCAGTCCAGATTGCACCCGACTGTCTTTTCTCCCGATCCGGGCCTGACCGGCTGAGAGCAGCAGCTGGGCAATAGTTGACTGACTCTTCACATATAAAAATTAACAATCACTTTAAACACCTTCACTTCACATCATAAAGAAAGAAGCAAGGAAAAATGAGTCCAAGGATACTAGTTTTGAAAGGTCTCGTGAGCTAGCGCCACATCACATTAAAATTTGATGGACTAAATGATGCATGAAGGAAGTCAAAGGAAAAACTTCTGTCTCTAAACTCGCTTATGTGACCTAGATTAGGGGCAGCTTTTGCATCAACAGTGTAATGGAGGTTGTGTGAAGAACAATGACATATGAACCGCCATGTTTGAGACAGGAAGGTCTAATGGGTAGAAAAATACAGGGTGTATGGAGTTATGCTTCTACATAATCATAATTGTGACTTGTAATACAATGATGTGTTTGGCTTTCAAATGAGTACATGTGAGTTTTGAATCACTTTTGATTGCATTGCAATTTTCAGACATACAAATGTCGGTTTCAATTGCTTAATTGTGGTGGATAATGTGATCACAAGTGATGGTGCAAACTACAAACAGAATTGCAAGATTCAAGGCATTCCAAAAATCATAGTTCATACACCATTTCAAATAAATGACCTTGGCGCTTTGAAGTATTTTTGAGGTATTAACGTGATCTGTACCAGGAATGGCACTTTTTATTTTTGCAAATGGAGTAACATTCGACCTTCTTAAAGAATACTCATTAACAAACACTTTGGAACTCAAACAAAATTAGAACATCAAGCTGGATTCAGATGCTCTATTTTAAAAAAGTGTTGCCGCCCAATTTTCGAAAACTCCTACAGTGGTCAGTGACTGCTTAGCAAGCTACATCCTATCAGGCATACTTGTCACGGCAGTAAGTCGAGTCATAGCGCCAGCCGACCGCCACATCGCCTAGGCGATAGCGATAAGGTGCCCGCCTAGGCAACAATTAGGCGACTAATCGCACATTATATAATATATTATATATAATTATATATATAATTACATATTATGTATAACATATTAATTAAATTGTATATAACTTACACTTGAAACCCACAATTAATAATTGAAATCCACTAATAATAAATCTGTATACATTCTATATTATAAATACATTCTATATTAAATAACAATTTGTACAATAACTATGGCTACACTTTACAAAAAGTTAAACTAGTACGTATATCACAAATTTGTATACGTAATTATATATATCAAAACTTTTATTAATAGTTTAATAGTCTGTTATTTTATAACATATACTACCTAAGTCCCAATTTGATGATCCTGTTTCTTATTCACTTGGTCAACACTTGGCTTGGCTTGATAGCTCAACTTGTACAAAGTATTATCAGTTTATCACTATAGAAATTAGAAACCAAGTGCTTCTACGTTTCACCACTTAGAACACCATTATGTTCTTTTCAACTCTTACTTTTCATAATAGTGAAAAAGTTGTTGGGTATGAGATCCGGCAAATTTCAGATCAGGCCAAAGTCTGGTCCATCCCTAAACAAACCTCCAAATAAAGTGTATATATATATATATATATTTGTAACTCACTACTAATAAGTTTAGCCAACAGTTTTTGAAGATGTTTATCTTTCATTGTTCCTTTTATTTAATAAATACTCCCTCCGTCCCAGAATTAACTTCGGTTTTGACTGGGCACGTGGATTAAGATAATGGGAAATGTGTGGTGGAGAGTTGTGCAGAGGAAAGAGAAATGTGTAAGAATGGTTGTGAACCACAAATTCTTTGCCAAAAAGGGAAAGAGGAGATAAATTTGAGACGGACCGAAATGGAAAGAATGAAGATAATTTTGGGACGGAGGGAGTACTACTTGTGTTCACAAATGGGCCAAACAAGAACACCTAGAAGGTGGTTAGAGTAGTTTAGGATCTAGAAAAGCCACGCCTAAGTGGAACTTATAGATTCCATGAAGTAATTAGTTCATTACCATTTTCAAACCTTTAACGTTACCAAAATAGTAATCTTGACTGTACATGTTTTCTATCTCCACACCAGATAAGAAATCGTCTAAAAACGTGTCTTATATCCATCTTAAGAGAGTAACCACACAATAGCCAAAGGTGTGGGAGCTGTTCCTTTTTTAAACTCGATGTTGTACCAGAGGATAATGTCGAAATTTGTGGTTTTTACCAGGCTTGTTTTATATCATGACTCACAATCAAAAAGTAAATTTGATAGAAGACTAGATATATTTGTTTTACCAGGCTTGGTTTATATCATGACTCACAACAACTAGCTATCACAAAGGAGTATAGACAACATAGTTTTATACCACTAATCTCCTATAAAATGCTGAAAAGATAACAACATCAATAAATTCAAAAGACAAAAACATTGCTTCAGTGTCTAGTACCTGATGATAGAACTACGATTACATATTGCCATCCAAGTGCAGGTGTGTGCCTCCGAATTGATCTAACACCCGAAAAGGGAACTGCCTTTATAGTATAAAGATTTCTATCTGAAGAAAAACATTTAAATAGAAATAGCCGTTATACAACAATTATAGGAAATTATATGAATGTGTTGTGTGCATATTTTCTCATGTGTTTCACAGATATGCATACAATGACGTTATGAAACTAACCTTTCTCAGGTAACCTCGCACTTGAGCTCTGTCCTTTATAAGGAATCCATGTCTACCACAATAAAAGTTCGTACATATTTCATAATTAGTATAAAGAAAGTATCAACTAAAATGATTAAATTAACAGATATTACTACACAAAAACATGGCATAGATTTTGCACTTGGTTATGTACATCCATATATCCCGAACGAAGAAGAAAAGAATTTTATAATCCTTCAGACGATTTGCTAATAATATTACAATGATGATAGTACCACAATCATGTCAAGACTTGAGAAGAATGAAGAATCACAAACAAAAACCAGATACACAACATAACCACACTATCGGTACATAAAAGATGAACTATTTTGGTGGATATTAATTTTTTAAATTGGGATGACATTGGAATATCAACCAGAACTAGGATGTGCAATAGTACCATGAATAGAGTGTTTCCTTGCTTAATCAGCTTCAGTCTACCACTAATCCTTTCTGAGGCATACTGTGTGGGATGAATTGTCACATTGTCCTTCAGGTACACTATTTCTGCCCCATCGGTTTCACTTGATGTACTGCGTCTGCTATTGCTGCTATCATTGCGAGTCATTGCTGCTGAACCCTAACACAAGTAACCAAACATTATAACAATCTAATTTACGAACTGGTCATTGACGAGCAACTACAAACGTCTAACAACGCTTGCATGAATAAAATCTGATTTAAGTTATGACAATTGAGATTATAAACTGCAAAATTATAAATTATACAATAATGTCCAGCCACCAAAGACAGCCCGAGGCAGTTACAGAACTGATGAGTAATCAATATTAAACAGTTACGGAGTAATATTTAGCATCAATTCACTGAAAAACGCATTTCAATCCCCTTATAGCTAAGCTACCTCAGGGCACAACTAGCATATCTTGAATTTGACCTCATTATTGATCTTTCCTTATTATTTTGAGAATTAAAAAATGAAGGTTGTTTCAATATTACTCCTCTATGCAGTGGTGGAGGGGAGCACATACTGGGCCTTGTACCAGTGCACATTTGGGCTGGCCTCTTACGAAAATAAAACACACAAAAAATGCTACTTGGAAGCAACTAGAAAAAGAGGCGACCATAAAAGTAAAAGGGAAATTGTGGGTGTTGGATTTATGGCAAGTCGAGGTGTTTCTGCAGCACTTCTTAGAACTGGGTGGCTTGGACAGGTCACATGACTCACATGGGGTTCATTGATATGTTTTACTACAATATTTATCAAGTTCATTTCTTTTAGTTGGCTTTTTGTTGTTAATTACTTAAATATATCTGGTGTTCTTTGGTACTCCCTCCGTATTTTTTTGTTTGCTACACTTTCCCTTTTTGGATGTATTTAAAAATTTGCTACACTTTCCATTTTTGGTAAGTGTTTCCTTTAAAAATACTCAACTACCCTTAATTTTTCTACTTTTTATCTTCTCTTTCATACTTTTCCACCATCTCTCATACTTTTTCTACACTATTCATTACCCCTACTATTTCACTCTTAAAAAATGTGCCAACACCTATTGTAGCAAACAAAAAATACGGAGGGAGTATATACTTTGTTGGGGGTCATAAGTTTGTGTGGCATGCATTGTAAAAGAGTGATTAATCCCAATTGGTGATAGGCGATGTTTGTTTCTCTTTTTTGATTGATTGAATCTATGTGTGACTGTTGGGTGGGTCTAGATAATATTAGTGTTTGTGTTGTCTATAACCAGTCCCCCATCAGATAAAAATAATTCATGCTCATGTAGTTCACATTAATCAACTTCAAGTTGCTAATCATGCAAACTTATGTGAAATGTTGGTGAAAACAAGGCATTATCTAACATTACCATAATCTGCCTCGAATAAGAGAACATTGTTAGCAAGGAAACATATGAATATGGTAATTTGTAACAACATGGATGACAACTTTCTTACTGATAGTTGGACATCGTTATTGAAAGAGAACTTGTAAACACAACACATAATGACTCCATGGACCATGATGGATGAGTTTGCTAGAGTAAAGGAATTTGAAATCCAGTAACCTTTTTAGCATAATGAAATGCATTATACTTCGATTCTTCGAGTAGTAGCAAGCTTAGAAATGCACTCTGAGTTGATTCAGTTTACTATTTAAAAAATAGAGTTAATATGATTGTTTTTCATTTCAATTAGAGGCTTAGAGCCCACCTCTTGGCTGGGACCCTCGCTCCAGGTTTTGAAGCCCACGAAAGAGATGAACTGATTAAACCAATTAACCAAAAAAAATGGCAACAGCTAAAGGAAGACGATCCTAATTCAGTATTCACATCCTCCTGCACATTTCTTGTGCACACACACCATGAACAAAGTAATTAATGTGCATGCGATTGCTTGTATGGGTGCTGACATAATTGGATTACTATAGCTACTGACTTACTAAGATGCCATACCTGTTGCATAGAGGCAGCGTAATCGGCGTCGTCTGACAGATCGCCGAGCTCCGTTTCGTGCATCGCCGGTCACTAAACAGACTCACGAGTGATCTTCGGAAGGGAGTAGATGCGTGAGGAGCGCTGTTCTCCTAGAGACGAAGAAAGAGAGGACATGAATCTTGGTTATGGGGCCCAGATGATGTGGAAGGGAGCTGCAGTTTTATGTAATTCGGGAAGCTTGACCATTATTTTTCCTATTATACCGTTTTAATTTCTCTTTTTTGCCCTGCCTCCGTTAGAGTAGTCAGTAGTGAAACCATTTTCATTCAATGCTTAATTTAATAAATACTACGTAGATTTATTAAATTTGGAGGACCCATACCTAGAGATGGCAATTGTGACCGATCCGATGGATACCCGCACCGAACCGCCCCGGTCAAAATGGGGAAAACCGCATTGACCGGGTAATGGGTACGGGGCGGGGAATACCCGTTTTGTTTTTATGGGTAACGGGGCGGTTACAGTTTTATGCATGTCTGCCCCATTACCCGCCCCGTACCCGCCCCGTTTATTTTTAGTTATATTTTTATTACATTCTTATCTATTATTTGTCCCACGACTAATAAAAGATGAGATTTTTAGTGTTCATTGTGTACATATGGATAATAGATGTACTAACTATAGTGTAAGAATGAAAGTTCTCAATAGAACTTAATAGTTTTGTTTGATTATTATATGATTTTTCGTGATTGATTATTTTTCAGATTAAGTATTTTTAGGTTCAAATTAATTTAGGCTGTCTTCTTTCTCGTCTTATAGATATATGAAGCTATAAAGTAGCGTATGAGTCTAGCGTCGTCTAGGTGATGTCATTTTTCGCATTTTAAAATATTAATATTATTAAAATATCAATGACTCATTTAATAATGTGATTACCCGCGGTTACCCGCGGTTATACCCGTTACCCGATGGGGCGGTTATGGTTTGGGTAAAAATTACCCGTTGGGTAATGGAGCGGTTATGGGGCGGGGGAATTACCAAACGGGGCGGGTACGGTTATATGTAAAACCGTCCCCGGTCCGCCCCGTTGCCATCCCTACCCATACCTTGCCTTTCCGTCTTCCTGGGCTCCTAGCAGGCTAGCATCAACTTTTACGGGGAATGCTTTTTTTATTTTCCAAAATGGTATTGTTATGGTTAATTTGTCATTAATCATTTTGCTAAACATTTTCTGTTGACATCAACTTTTGTTATGTTGACATTTCATTTTCTGTTGACATCAACTTTTGTCATGTTGACATTTTCTGTTAACCAGGACCAGGTATATAGAAATTGTAAACAACTTAGGGGTGGGCGCGGTCCGGTCCGGTCCAATATTTGGCCGAACCCGTACCCGTACCGTTACTATTCAAACGGTTCGGTTCGGTTCGGCCTTAGACCTAAACCCGTTCGGTACGGTTTCATTTTGAAACGGGACGGTACCATGCCATACCAATACCAAACAATGCCACCTTTTCCAAGTGTTTAAGAGACAATTAAAGTTTAGTCGTCCTCCAAAAATCTACACAATTTATCAATTTTCATACTCATTCCATCCCAAATTGACATGCAAAGTCAATATTTTTTGGTCAACCAATGTTAGAGTTAAATTCTCTTCATTGATAAATAATTCAATTTGTAATAATTAAAATAAACATATTCAGAAACTACATTGAAATTTCTTCAAAGTTGCAAGCTCCAAATTAAATATAATTAAAAATTGACATTCTAGTTAAGTGAATAAAATAAATCTGTTTGACAAAAACAAGTTAATTTTGCAAATCAATTTGGGACGAAGGTAGTATTACATAATTAATAAATTTCAGATAAATTATAGTAGTACAAATTTAAATGATTAAACCATACATCGGTCCGATTCCAGGCTTCCTATGAACTAGCAAAGACGGTGAAAATGTAAAGGCACTAGTCAAAATAATGGTATAAATGTAAATTTAAATAATCAAATCATACTTCGGTCCGGTTCGGTCCGGTTTCGGTTCTCATTTTATGAGAACCGGTCATGGCATTGTTTAGAATCGGTACGGTTCGGTTCGGGACAAAAAAATTGAGATCCGTTTCAAACCCCGTTTTTCGGTCCGGTACCATATCGGTTCGGTTCGGTACCATGCCGGTTCGGTATTTTTGCCCACCCCTAAAACAACTGCTCCTCTCTAAACTGAGAATACCAAAAGCCAGGGGCGGAGCCAGAACACTGGGCCAGACTGGGCCGATACAAAGAATATTTTTGACACTAAAAATAAAAGCATTTTGAAAATTTGGGCTGGACCAGGGCCAGGTCTGGCCCACCCCTAGCTACGCCCCTGCCAAGAGCCGATTCCATTGATTTATGAAGAAAAATATTTAAAATATATTTTAATAATAAAATAAAGAAAAAAATATGAAAGTAGCTAAAATGGTGATCTACAGTTCCTTGCAACTCAAGTACCAAAAGCTCTACAAGTACAAAACATTTATGCTCATGGTTTTCAAAATCATTTTGAAAAGAGAATTTGAGACTTCATTATGAAGTTTATGGACTAAGGCTCTAATACCAATTAAATTCTCACGCCCCGGACCTCCCCGGACACGTCAACAACTCGCCGTACAATACGAATAGTCAACCGCAGTCCAACACATTCATATTATACAAAGTGTCTTGAAAATCATTCACACATATAACATTCATAAACAAACATAATAAGTAATTCATAACGCAGCGGAAAACATTGTTTTAAACAAAAAGGCCACACCGGGCTATTCATGAGCACGCAGGCTCTATAGTTAAATATCCATGAGCAAATTTATTAATGTTTCAAATAGAATGGAGGAAGCACGAACCAAGTCTTTTCCCCGAGGAATCACTCGATCAACGAGCACAGGATGCAAGCTCTAGCCTCAACCTGAAATGGTGGTGGGACGCCCCCGAAGGGGTCAGTACTCTATACGGCTATAAAGTACTGGTGTGGTAGGCATCTAATAGATATACAACAAGTATTTCAAACACAAGACCCTCAATTAGGGTGATAGTACATTATGATTGTAACCCTAAGTTACCACATTCGAAAATATACTTATACTTTATATAAAAGTCAAGTAGTCGGCCCGTGGGCCCATATTCATTTAGAAATCACCATTCCCATTCCCTGTGACTATAAGCCACGACAACTCATAGAGTCCAACCCTAACACATGACATTGTATTCTAGAGCTCGGCTCTACCACATCACCATACAATTCATGTCACTTGGGTCAATTTCCTTACCTTGCGTTCTAGAGCTCGGCTCTATCACATCACCACGCAAGCCCTAGAGCTCGGCTCTAGTTATATCATACATAGACTACAAGTCTACCACCTTACCATGCATTCTAGAGCTCGGCTCTATCACATCACCATGCACTAAGGTCCAATTCTTAAGCAACCCTATGCCTAGAATTGACATATCAATAAACTACCATGGGACATCCTTAAAGACTTCCCATAACTTAACCTTAGTTTCATACTAAGCCATTATATACACTTGAAGTGTATTCAAGTGCCTTTCATACTATCCAATCCATAGGATCGATTTCAACAACAATTTCCAATAATCACTAACTAGTATTTCAATACTATTAAGATTATTGTTATCATACAAGTATTCTCATTTTGTAATATCCTACATATGTATATTATGTGGCAGCAACTTAAATATTCAATCCCAATACATAAATATTCATTTATGTATCCACATAATTCATACATGAGTAAAATCCCTATTTTCACAAAATAGTTCATTTATAACTCATTTAATCTCATATTATTCATACATCCTCAAATCATTTCCAATTTCATTCTTTGGGAACTATATCAATATTTCATCAATATTTAATCATCATAATACGTGAAAAATTATGATTTAGGCATTTAGGTAATCTCATGCTTAACCTACAAGTTGTAAGCAATTAGATGTCAATCATCACCTCAAATGAGCTTTAAGACCTTGCTTCTCGCTCCAACGACCAAAGCCTCGGCCAAGAAGGTTTGAGAACTGATTCCTTGCTTGGAATTGAGTGTTAAACAGCCTCCTCAAAGTGCTAGTTCAACCCCTAATCGTTGATACGAAAACAGCCCCTAGAATGGGTGTTTTTCGGCTAACTCGTTTCCTAGTTTTCCAAGATTTGCTCTAGGTTAGTATCTAACCTTTACATAAATAAAATAACCTTATGAGGACATATTATACACTTGGAGTAGTGTATAATAGTTCCACCAATCGTTCATATCATTTGGAAAATGAAAAGTAAAGTTTGGGGTTAACACTCACTTTAGGAGAGTAAATCCGTTCCTGCGAGATTGTGTTTTGCTCGGACAATTTAGAAAACTTCCACTACTCCGATTAATGCAAACCAGACCTTCACGGATTCCTCGTCTTGCGATCTTTCTTTTGGTATCTTGTACGCCTTATTTGGATTGGTATAACCCAAGATATCAACCAAACAGCCTCAACACTCTCACTGCTCGAGTTTACAGACAGCAGTTCACTCCAGCTCGATTTTTGTATGATAAACTCTCCCCTCTCGCACAGAGACCATTCAAATGTGAAACTAGACTTCAAAGGCTATCCAAGAACACCTCATTCACGTTATTTGGTTAAGTATAACTTCACTTATGGAGGGAGACAACCAGCACCATCTTTTTGTGCGAAAATAGACTAGGTGGGGTTCCCTCTTGCTTCCTTTGTCAAGTCCAGCCCCTAGAGTCAGCTGTGGCCGCCCCTAACATTATTTTTTTGTCTTGCCGGTGGAAGGAAGAGACGGGCCCAGCATGTTGTTCCCCAATTATTTTGGGAGCAAAATATTAATCAATACATCCAAAAATGGAAGAATGAATCCTATTGTTTACTCTTTTGTCAAAAGATGTCTTTTTTACTCATTGTAATTTATATAGACCAAGTCAACCCCCTACATCATTTTATTGATCTCAAATATGTGTAGCATCATCCCAATAATTTACATGATGAATATTATAGAAGGAAAAGTCTTACTCCCATTATTTAGCTCAATAATGTCAAAGATGGGATCATAGACATTTGTATCCGTCTCTAATCATTCTATCACTTTTTTTGACATTTGTCATTCATATTATTGGACTACTAGCCGTGTGGGTCACCCCCGAGTGGGCCTACGACGCCATTCTTGAATACTTGCTATTTTTAGCAGGTTGGGCCCAAAATAATGTTTGGACCGCCCGACCTTCCTCGACTTGTCTTGAAAGGTTATGTAAC